GGCTGTGTGGTGGTGACGCTGTCTGGAGTAGGCGTAGCTGTGCTTTTGTCTGGTTGAGGGGCACTTGGCGAAGTGCCTCCATCAGTGCTCGGCGGCAAAGTGGCTGCTGTTGTATCGGGAGTTGCGGATGTCGTCGTCGTTGCCTTGTCCGGCAGCTCAGAAGGACCAGCTGGTTTGGGTGAACTGCCCCCTTCTTGAGTGCTTGCTGTGGTGACGCCGTCTGGAGTCGGTGTTGGTGTTGTTGTTGTTGTTGTTTGGACCGGTTCAGGCTCCTTTGGGGAACTGCTGCCGCCGCCTCCTCCATCAATGCTTGGGGGCAATGTTGTCGCCGTATCGGGAGTTGGCGTCGTCGTCGTCGTCGGTTTCTCCTTGTCTGGCTCCTTGTCAGGGTCCACCAGTTTTGGCCCTCTGGTGCTGCCGGCTGAGCTGGGCTCTCTTGGAGTTGTAGTCGTCGTTTCTGCTGAAGGTGCTGATGTAGAGGTTGGACTTTCTGTTGTTGAAGAGCTTCCACCCGGTGGGAGTGTGGTGGTGGTGACGCCGTCCGGAGTTGCTGGAGTTGTGGTGGTGGTAATTTTCTCTGGCTCAGGTGAACTGCCGCCGTCGATGCTGGGCGGCGGCGGTGGAGGTGGCAGTGTTGTGCCTTTCGGACTGGGAGTTGGTGTTGTCGTTGTTATTTTGTCCGGTTCTGGCACCTTTGGCGAACTGCTGCCTTCATCAGGGCTAGTTGGTGGCTGTGTGGTGACGCCGTCGAGAGTGGCTGGAGTTGTGGTGGTCGTTTTGTCTGGTTGTGGTGAACTGCCTCCATCAACACTAGCAGGTGTAGTCGTTTTGTCCGGTTCAGGCTCCTTTGGTGAACTGCTGCTTCCATCAGTGCTTGGGGGCAATGTTGTGGCCGTATCGGGAGTTGTGGTGGTTTTATCAGGTTGAGGTGAACTGCTGCTTCCATCAGTGCTTGGTGGTAATGTTCCCTCGGCAGTTGACGGAGTTGTCGTTGTTGTATCAGGTTTTTCAGGACTAGGTGGCGCTGGTTTGGGAGAGCTGCTGCCGTCGGTGCTAGGCGGCGGCGGTATGGTGACGCCGTCGGGAACTGCTGGAGTAGTCGTTTGGTCTGGTTCTGGTCCCTTTGGTGAACTGCTTCCTCCTCCCTCAACACTAGGTGGTGTGCTCTTCTCTGGAGGCATAGTTGTGGTGGGGATTTTGTCTGGTAGTTCAGGCAGGATTGAACTGCCTTCCCCAACACTGGGCGGTGGCAAAGTGGTAGCTGTAGCTGTAGCTGTGTCGGGAGCTGGCGTGGTCGTTGTGCTCCGGTCCGGTTCTGGTTCCTTTGGTGAGCTGGCTCCATCAGTGCTAGGCGGAGGCGGTGGTAGTGTTGTGGCATCGGGAGGAGTTGCTGGTGGAGTGGTCGTTGCCTTGTCCGGTTGCTCAGGGCCTGGTGGCTCGGGTTTGGGTGAGCTGCTGCCATCAGTGCTAGCCGGTGTTGTGGTGATGCTGGCATCGGGAGTTGCTGATGGAGTTGTCGTTTTGTCCGGTTGTTCAGGCTCCTTCGGTGAACTTCCATCGACGCCTGGTGGTGGCAGCGTAGTGGCCCCTGTTTCGC